GGAACAGAGTAAAGACCTTTGAGTTTTACGGAGTGAGGGTAAGAGTGTAATTCGGGCGAAAGTGTTGGGGTAGTTTGGGAAGGACATGGGGACGCGGGGTGGAGTTGAAGTAGCAAATGAAATGGTGACACGTAGGAAGAGAGGTACGGAGAAGGATGTGACGTGGCAACTCGAAAGAGTCACGTGCGTTTGGAGAGGTGGGTGGGCGGCACTCTCTGTTCTGAATCTCTGATCTATTTTTCTAAGTAAAATGTTAAATTTGGTCCTTCAACTTTAATGAATTGCATATTTTTGATCCCTCAATAATTTTTTACACTTTTTTGATCCCTCAACTCTAAGAAATGCACTCCATTAATCATTCTGTCAATTTAGACCGTTAACTACGACACGTGACATTTTTTATAATTTTTTTGATGAAATGAAAAAAACAATTTTAAAAAGCGCTAATTTAAAATTTTTTTTTAAGGCACGTCATCGCCAACTCATAAACCGATTTTACCTTAATAAAAAAATAAAAAATTACAAATTTACCCATCTCCCTTTCTTGATCCATCTTCTTTCCCTCTTTCGATCATCTTTTTCCTTTCTTTTTTTTCTTTTTCTTTCTTCCTCTTCTTCCTCTGTGTCTGTTGGGTTCCGGTGGAACCCAGCTCCACTTTTTTGTTATTTTTTGGTTTGCGAAGAGATTATCCAAGACATTATATGTTGTTATATGTTCAAAATGGAAATGGAAAGAACAGAAGCAGTTGGGCAAAGTAGCAATTCTTAGTGGGTTTTCATTTGTTTGGCTGGTTAGTGGGTTTTCATTTGTTTGGCTGGAAAATGGTATAGTTTAGGTGTTTGGATGCTGAGAAAATACTTTGAATTTGGGTGTTTGAATGCTGAAAAAATGCTTTGAATTTGTTTGGTTGGCGAGATTGATTAAGAAACTATAATGTCCGTTAAAGAAAGAAAATTTGATGAAAAATTGGTGATTTAATTATAAATTAATTTAGAAGTTTAATTTTGATTAATATAAATAATTATAGTTTAATGATGATTAATTAATAAAATTTGATTTGATATTATTTTTTATTCGGATAAATATTTAATTTAATTTGTTATATTATTAAAAAAATATCACTTAATTTACCATGTCATCAAAAGATATCTTTTTTTATTAGTAAGGTGGGACTCGTTTAAATGGATTTAACACACGGTAATATGATTTGGCACACAGTAATATGAAATGTCAAAATATTTGTTCATATCATCACTTTGCTCTCCACATCATCAAAAAAATATAAAAAATGCCACATAAGCGGAGTTAACGGGTCAACTTAACAGAAGGACTAACGGAGTGCATTTTTTGTAGTTGAGGGATCAAAAAAGTACAAAAAATTGTTAAAGGATAAAAAATGTTCATTTCTTAAAGTTAAGGGACCAAATTTAACATTTAACCATTTTTCTAGTGGTAGTACACTACGACATTTACATTACTGTATATATAT